AGTGAGCCAATTAAGAGATTTTATGCCTTGGGAGATGTGGTCAAATTTCTTAAGGCCTAATACAATACGTGCAGCAAAGTTTTGCACTAGCTGAAGCTTCTTTATATTTCTTTGAGATGTGTTGGCCCATACAGTTGAACAATAATACATTGTACTTAAAATAAAAGCGTTCATCAAAAGTAAAAGGGTTTTCCTGTCCAAGAAGTGTTTAATCCTGCTGATCTGTACTAGTTTGAAAATACAGTTAGAAGTAGTTTTAGCAACACAACATGATCGTTATATGTTAAGGACTGGTCGATGTAGAATCCAAGGTCCTTCGCCAGAGGGACTGGTGTTATTCCTTTCCCAAGAGTGAAATTGACGTTGGAGGCAATTTCCGCAGTAGTTGAGGAACACCAACTAGTAAGATTTTAGTTTTAGCTGAGTTTATTAAAAGGGAATTCTGACAGCACCATCGGCAAATTTCTCTCAAATCTTCGTTTAGATAACCAAATACGCGAGCGATGTCAGTTGAGCGAAAGGATAGGTATAGTTTACAGTCATCGACGTAACACACAGACTTGCAGTGGGCTGGAACGGACAAGAGATCATTTACATAGATGGTAAAGAACACAGGCCCCAAGATAGAACCCTGAGGAACTCCGTATTTAAGAGGGAGCGGGTCTGAGATAGCATCCCCAATGTGCACTCGCTGGCTACGACCAGACAGGTAATTATGAAACCACTCCAAGCTCGAAGAGGCAACACCTATGCTTTGTAACTTCTGAAGGAGAAGATCATGTCTGATACTATCGAATGTCTTGGACATGTCTAGTAGCACGACAACGGACACTTCACTCTTATCAGTGGCCATGAAAAAATCATCTGTTACGTGTAAGAGAGCAGTTTCCGTAGAGTGACATTTTCGATTACCGCTCTGATTTTCAGATGGCTTCTTGTTGGTGGTTATGTAGTCAACGAACTGACGCTGAGCTAATCTATCAGACACCTTAGATTGCATTGGCAGTAGTGAGATGGGCCGGTGATTACAGGGATCTTCGGGGTTGCCAGACTTTAACACAGGAGTAACTTCAGCCATTTTCCATACTTTCGGAAAACAATTAGATCTAAATGAGTTATTAATAGTGCTTGCAATATTTGGTATTATGACTGGCAAACAGTCCTTGAGGACGCGGGTAGCAATCTTGTCACGACCTGGTGCTATGTTGGAAGAGAAGCCCTTAATTACACATTCAACATCCTTCTCCAGTACGGGGATAAATCGAAATAAGTCAGGGCAGTCATCAGGCGTTCGCAAGAGGGTTGGCACTGCTGGATTGATATGATAATTATGTACACAAGCAAAATCGTAAGCTTCCTGAGCTGCTGAACTTCCAACAGATGTAAAATATTCATTAAATCTATTAGCCAAGGAAATCGGGTTGTCATGAATGATAGGGCGGCTTTTGGACTTCTTTGGCAGGCAGTTGTTAATTATCTTCCAAATTGCATTAGTGTTTCCTTTGTTTTGTAATAGCTGAGATCTCACATAAGCTTTTTCTGCAATTCGTAGTTCACGCTTGACTTCCTGTCTGAAGAAACGATATGCGTTTCATTGAAGACGGTCATTTGATTTAATGGCTCTCCGATGCCATTGGTCCCGGGTCTTCATCAGTTGGCGAATTTCAGCTGAAATAACTGGGTTTGGTCTTGACTTGA